CAAAAAAATATAGATAAAAACACAATGAAATCACCAGAAAGCTCATGCAACCAGTAGCAGATGGAACACATACTGAAATCACACACACCAAAAATAAAAAAAAAAAAAAAAAAAAAAAAAGATCATGCAACAAATAACAGATGAAAAACATACTGAAATCACTAACTAGTACTCAATATTGACAAGTGTTTCCAACCTTAAAATTACTTCTCTTCTCACAATATTATGATTTCTTTTCTGCTGTCACGCCTTCGTTGCATGTTTTTGGTCACATAAAATGACATGAAGCTCAGAAAACTCATAAAAGCATTATCCTTGTATAGATATCCACACTGATAGCAAAAACAGGCTACAAAGTATTCCTGGAAAAGGGAGAAAAGAACTAGATATATTGGTTAAATGAATAAGGCAGCTAAAATAATTTCTTAGCTTTTGTTAAAAAAAAAAAAAGAAAAAAGGAGAAGTACTAAAACTGATGGTCTAGTAAGAACAGAGGGAAATATATATCCTTCAAAAGCACACAAAAAGAGTAAACAAAGTATGCAAGCCTTATATGGCACAGCAGCTAAAGGAACTCACTACGTCTCATGATGAAATTACAACATTCAACACAAGAAACCTTCAAGTCACCAGAACTAAAACTCGAAATATAAAAAACTAAAGGAGAGAAACTCTTAAAAGAACTATCTCCAAAATTTCACAAATCGGGAACGGCAGATGACGCGCTAAGTAAATAAACACAGCGCCGTTAAGAAAATATGCATGAACACAAACAGGGGAAAGATTAAGCAAGGCAAATACCTAATCGAGAGCATGCAATCCCTAACCAAATAAAATCACGGTCTCGAACACCAAAAAATCAAAACCAAAAAATCAAAATACAGAGATTATCGCAATCATAGAGCACAATGTAGCTAAAGATACAGAGAAATCACACTCTGAAACAGCAGAACTTGAAAACTGGAAAACAAGTCTCATAGGAAGAACCAAGAGATTGAGTATAGCAACCGCTAAATCATCAACAATCAACACAAAATAAGCACTCTAATGCAAAAAGCCAAGGACTAAACCTAAAATGCTCTTTCGCGAAGTTCTCTAGCCGCCGCAGAGGCCGGCACGGCGAGGAGAAGTGAAGATTGCCTTCTCTGAGATTTCCTCCTGACTGTGCTTATGGAGGGAAAAAGAGTCGCCCTCCTCGCCCCCTTAAACGGAAAGAAGACAAACAGAGCGACGACTGTTTGTTTTCCTTTTCGGAAACCTTCACGGACTGCAATCTTATTACCATCGGCAAGGGATGGGCTTGGCTTATTTGGATAGAAAGTTATTTTATTAGAAATGTTTTTAGACTGTTAGAAAAGTGATGCGAAAAAAATTAAAAGGTAATGTATAGAAATTTATTAAATTTTGTAATATAATTAAACTTTTATTGAATTATTACTTTTATTATATTTGATAAAAAAATTAATATAAGAAAAATTGTTTAGTAAATTTAATATAAAAAATTTTAAAAAAATATTTTTTTTACTTTTATTGTAATATTAATATGTAAAATTACATAAATAATCTTATTGAAAATTTTCAAAAATTAAAAAAAAAATTATTCCCCAGCGAAACACTCACTAAATGAGTGTGAGGTAATTCTTCTCTCAGTATAGTCATTGTCACCGGATTGTAAGTTTATTTTTACTCTTTACTCTTTAGCTTGTTATAGTATTTTTGGTTTTGAGAAATTGGGATGATTAGAAGTGTTTTAATGAATTAATTAAAAATATGAGTTCCTCCCCCTCTCTTCTCTTTTTGTACTCAATTTCTCTCAAATTAAATATAATCTTTAATTTTAGGAGTAAAATTAATATAAGATAACAAGTTAGATCAAAACAATTCTTGAGTTAAGAAGGGTTTGACCCTAATCCAAGCTACTATGAATACAAGTCAGTCAACTTTACCATCCTATATATATATTTTTTTGTATTTAAAATTATTTTTTTATCCTATATTTAACCGCTCACATCATATAATGTAAACATATTGAGAGACCAATTCTTATTCAAAAAGATCAAACTAAACTTCTAAATCACAAAAACTTGACCTGAAATATTTACTAAAATTGACATAGAAACAAATCAATAAAACAAAATCTAGCACCCAACCCACCAAGCAATATTTAGTAGAATTAGTTCGGTAAACCACCACCTTAATACTACAACAAAAATCCGAGCATGATTTAATGGGCCCAGCACTCATCTTAACGAATACAAAATCCAACTTCTACATACAAATAAATTATTTGACATAAAATAGCATTTGGAATCAAAATAGCAGAAGTCATGAATTAGGGAAGAATAGTGAAACACAACATTGATCGTTGAGGGAGGGATGATGATGAATTAGAATTGGTGAGTGAAGAGGGTGACGGAGGGGTCAAGGGAGAAAAAAGGAAGAAACTTGGTCGGGGTTTTCACCAATCCGTTAATGAGTTTGTGCGTAAAATATTATATATATTAAAAAAGAAAGAAAGAAAGTAGTTTATAAATTTTGAGTTGATTAGTTTCAACCTTGGCCTAGATAGGTTAAAGAAATCAATCCTAAATGAGTTGTGGGTTAAAATCTCCTTATTCATTTATGTTTATATAATTTGTAAGTATTGTATTGTACAATGTGATAGATCTCTCTCCCCCCAATTCCACTAAGCCTCCATCAGCTAACCCTAACCTTCCTGTTCCAACGTCGCCACTGCCTCCAGACATACTAGTAATCGCTCCTACCTCTTCTGGGTCGGATCTAGTTAACTTGCTCTCACTGACTAATCAACCTAGTTCTCATCCAGAACCGCTTGTCAAATCCTTTTGCGACACTCTTATGGATGGTAGTGCTTCCATTGAGCCATTACTTGTCACTTATGAAAAACTAGTAGCAGCCAATCTTGATTTTGAATCTCAAACTTCAATGGTTGAAGATGGAGGGAATCTAACTAAGCTGAAAGTTCCTAAAGTTAAGATTCCCAAATCAATCTAGCAGAGGCTTTGTGCCCCTTGGAAGAATGCAGTCATCATTAAACTTCTGGGAAAATCTATTCACTTCCATGTTTTGCATTCGCATTTGTTAAAGGACTAGCAAACAAATGATGAATTTGAAGTAATCGATGTGGGCCAAGGATATTATATTGTCAAATTTTTTTCTTCTCAAGATTGTTCCAAGATTCTAACGAGGACCATATAAAATATTTGATCATTATCTAATTGTCCAACCATGGGAACTAGGTTTCCATCCTGCCAGACCTAAAGCCCCTAAAACAGCTATGTGGGTCAAATTACATGGAGTCCCCATTATCTACTTTTATAAGGCAATTTGTCTTTATTTGGGAAGCAAAATTGGCAAACCGATTAAAGTGGATCTTACAACTTTCCTTACCATTAAAGAGAAATTTGTTAGAGTTTGTGTTGAGATTGATCTAGGTCAGCAACTCTGTCATGCCCCAAAACCTAAATCCGAGGGCAAAACAGACGACGTACACTTGTGAGAGGATCCCACAAATGCACAATGTTCAGAACTTGATAAATTCATTACTAATAATCCACTTAAACTTAGATCAAAAACTCAAAATAAAATCTAACTTACAAAAGAATGATTTATAACTCAAAATTTACGTCCAAAATATGATGGCTAGCCTTCTAGTTTGTCACTCCCTTTGGTTTCCCACGCCTCGGGTCACACTATCTAAAATGGTGGACAAGGAAAAACTATGTGAGATAACTCAGTAAGTAAAAATATGGATAGCCCTTAATTAAAACTTATAGCATACCAACAAGTGTAATCAAGTATCAAGGAAAATGGGTTCAAGTATGAGAATGAAATAGACGTCTCCTCTATTGGTCATGGCCAACATTTATAAACCTCCCACTGGCAAGCACAATAGTAATCAGTGTATTATCCCACTGACAGGAATACAAGATGAATCGGGTCCTAGAAATACATGTCAACATGTGCTAGTGTTTATAAACCTCCCACTAGCGGGCACAATAAAACATGACCATATTGGAGACAAAACTGGGCAAGAGTTAATAGGAAAACCATAATTTACAAATAATTTTCAGAGTATTAGGACAATCAAATAAAATCCCAGTAGGCATGCTCAACTTAATAAACATATTAACAACTTTCATTTCAAATCAATCATGCTCATATGCTAAAAAAAAAAAAATCAGTTTAAATCTTGCCACCATCTCAAAAATAGTTTAAAATATGCTTTTAAAGCTTTTACCTTAAAATCCAAGGACATTACCACAAATTTACTTACTTACCTCGCCTTATAGGTATACAATAAGTAAGAAATTAAAAAACTTAAGGCTGTTGAGATGATTTCAAACCTATACCACATCAATAAATAGACAAGATCACAATAAACTCCATGTAACTAATTTGATTTCTAATTACAGAATCAAGTTTCTAACCCGAGGAACAATTTGCTCTTACACCTCTTGATCACCTCTACCCTTTGAAACTTTACTAACATATATTTATTCATATGCATAATCGTACGTAAATATGCTTAAAATAGCTCGAAGAGACCCAACATATTGTGGGTTTACCAAGTAGATTTTGCTGGGCAAAACACAATGGAAAATATGAGAAACCAAGTTCAAATCTACCCCAAAACAATAGAACAAAAGCTAGGCAGTAAGGTGGGGATTTTTGCTATTTAAAACAATCCCAAAATGCTTAGAAAAAGCCTTAAACAATAGGAATTTTCTAGGCAAAAAGACAGCAACACAACAAGGCAGAACACAAGCTAGAATTGGGCAAAAATAGACAGTATTTAAGCAGCAAAAAGGGTAGTCAAAATAAACCAATAACAAGGGGTTTTAGAGCAAAAAAACAGAAGCTAAAATTCTACTAAAACTATGATGCAATGTAGTAGCAAATAGAGTGGAAATGAAACATAAAACAGAGCAAATTTCTGGCAAGTTTGGTTAGATTTCATGCTAGAACTTCCAACAAAATTCACACCTAGAATTAACTGATCTGGGTTGAGTGGTCAATAGATAAATTGTAGCCCTATGTCTTACCATTCTATAGCCTTAAGAATTACCTTAATCCAACATTGATAAAGAGAGTTATGGCCAAAAAACTAACACAGGGTCGTGTTGCTAGTTAAGTCCACTTGCGGGAATCAGATTTGCAGCAGATTTTTCACCATGAAAGCAACTAAACTAGGTTAAATGTCCAACATAAAAGTTGTAGGGTTATCTCTTAGCTTTCTATAGATTTAAAAATGGACCTAATCCAATAACTACAGAATGAGTTATGGGCAAATTCTTACAGAAGGGTCATGCAATCTAAATTTCTAGCAAGTAAAGGAAATCAATTTCTGGTGGTATTTATCACGGACAAAATCAAGGGAAAACTACAGAAAATTTCTAAAATTTTGAAAACCCTAAAAGATTAGAGTTAACCCACTTCAAATCATTGAGGAAAATATGAGTATTATGGTTGATTTCTTACCAAAATGTGTTGGAAAGATGAAGATCTCCCCTTACACTACACAAGAACCCACATGAACCAGAAATATTTGGGGAATATCAATAGCTAGATCTAGTTTTGAATCATCACTTTGAGAATCATGACCTCATAAATCATTAAATCAAACTTGGGAGGAAGAAAAAGAACTAGATCTCACATTGTTTTTTTTTGGCAAAAAAGTGCTGAGCATAAGCTAGAGCTTATGGAGGCAAGTTTCGAGGGACGACTAAGGGAGACAACGTAGAAATGGCAAGGAGAAAAGGAAAATTAGTCTTAACCCCCTTAAATACCAGATTTCACTTTTAACCCCCTTAGATTTTGTGAATTTTAACTTTAACCCCAAAATAATAATTTCTACCAAAAAAGTCCTTAACTTAAATTCTAAAATTTTGAAAAATTTTGGGATATTACAAGCTCCCTTCATCTGTGGATCTTGATTTGGAGGATTTACTCTAGTCTTTAATTCCGATTGAATATGAAGGTTTACATAAAATTTGCTTCCATTGTGGAGAATTTGACCACACTAAGGACATTTGCCATTATAAAAATTTGGGGAAAGCTTCTCCAGTTGCCACTAATCCTAGTTCAAAGGCTATGATTGAATTAACACAAGCTCTTAAGCCAAATTCTAAAGAAAATAATATGGTGTTTAGGTCATGAATGGTTCAACAATGGAGGTCAAAACGACAATAACCGCCTCAACGATAGGTAGTGCAGACAATTGGTGATTCGCTCCTTCCCCCTCCAAAAATCTTAGGTACTCAGAATCCCTCTGCAGCAAATCTAGCACAATCTTCGCCATCAAAGATTGTTGCTAATATTAGTTCACATGAATCTTGGAGCAATAGGTTTGCCATGATAGTAGAAATTCTAGAAGATGATACAAATATGTTGAATTCAAATAAGGATAAAGGTAACCAACATGCGGGAATTTTGCCTTAGACTCAAGATTTGGTTGGCTCGTCTATGCCAATGGATATTATCTCCTCTAGCCCACCTCCACCACTTTCAACAACTTTTGTTAAGCCTAAGCCCAAAAAGAGAAAGGCCAAAACTGATGGCCCAATTCCTAAAGATCTTAAACCTCTTACACCTAAGTCACACTAGCCTCTTTCCATATTCAAGAAACAACAAGATTCATCTGGTGTTTTGTTTATTGTGCCGCTTTCAGATCCAGGCATGGCTAACCTTTTTGGCAGTGACCAATCCTCCACAATCTTTTTCTTTAGTGTTGGATAATGGTCAAGCACAAAAGCAGCTACTTGCACAGGGTGACCCGCCTAACATGGCTTAATCACTTTCTACCCACATTGCATTTTCAAATGCAATAAATAACCACATTATTCCCAAATGAAGATTGTGATGTGGAATAGTCATGGTGTTTGACATGCTCCTTTTAGGCAAAATGTAAGGAGCTACTTAAGTGCATAAACCACATGTTATTTGTTTCTTGGAGACAAAGGCGAATGCAGACTCTTCGGATTGTTGTTTTATGTTGCAGTTTTTATTTGATAAATAATCTAAAATTCCTTCTATTGGATGAGCAGGAGGTTTATAGTTGTTTTGGAAATTCTCTTTAGTAGTTTTGGAGGTGCTATCCACCACCAACCAAGCCATTCATTGTTCTCTTATCAAACAATGAATTACTTTTACTGTCACCTTTGTTTATGTTCGGCTGCATAATGCCATGAAAGCAGAGTTTTGGTCTTTCTTAAGGGACTTAACTAAACATATTTTTGGTAGTTGGTTTGTTATGGGGGATTTTAATGATATGGACATTATGGATGAAGCTTCCCCACGAGTAGTACATAGAGATACTAGTATTCAACATTTTCGTGATCATGTGGATGCTTGCAATTTGTTTCCTATGGATTCTCTAGGCTGTAAGTTTACTTGGATACATAAGACTAATGAAAGAGTTACTTTACGAGAAAGGCTTGATAAGGTGCTTACTAATCTATCTGGCCTTGAGGAGTTTTCTGATGTGAAGTTGATAAATCTACCTAGACTTTGTAGTGATCATCACCCAATCATGTTGAATATTGATTCCCCATCTCGAATTCTTCGTATGGCTAAGCCGATTCAATTTGAAGTAGCTTGGTTGACTCATGATGATTTGGAGGCCGTGTTTTCTAATGCATGGACTTCCCATGATCACTCTCTTTCTTTAGCTATCATGTAGTTTAAAAAGCTTGTTTTGATTGGAATAAAACAAAGTTTGGTGATCTTTTTCACTAGAAACGGCTATTGAAAGCTTGTCTAGTATGGATCCAAAACTCACCTTATTTCTCACATTCTCTTTTCCTCCAAAAGTTGGAATATGAAGTATTAGAAGATTATCATAAAGTCTTGCGTGTTGAGGAATTGTTTTGGTGTTAGAAATCTCGAGTTAAGTGGATTGCTTCGGGAGATCGCAACACAAGGTTCTATCATGCTTCAACGATTATGAGAAGGGCACAAAATAGGATCATGGCATTGAAGATAGAAAATTCTTAGGTCACCGATCTTCTTGTCTTGAAATCTCATGTTCGTGTCTTCTTTGTGGATCTATTTTTTAGGAGGGAGACTCAAGCTACGTTTTGGGATTATTTTCATTTCCAACCTTGGCTATCTGATGTAGATGGTGCTTCCTTATTACTTCCTGTTTCTATGCAGGAGGTTAGGGCAGCTCTTTTCTCAATGAAAGGTCTGAAAAGTTAGGGGCCAGATAGTATTCAATCGATTTTTTACCAAAAGCATTGAGATATTGTCTCAAGTACTCTCTATTCTTTTGCCAATAAATCTTTTACAGAGGGATTTTTTGAACCTACTCTGCTACAGGCTCATATTACCCTTATCCCAAAAGGAGATAATTCGGATATGATTCACAAGTTTAGACGCATTTACTTATTGAATGTCGCTTAAAAAATTTTGTCCAAAGTGATAGTTGATAGATTGTGCCCTTGTTTACAGAGCCTAATTTGTCCCTTACAAAGTAGTTTTCTCCTTGAAATGAGAACTGCAGATAATATCATTCTTGTTCAAGAGGTTGTGCACTCCATGCGTTGACTAAAGGGAAGGAAAGGGGCTTTAGCTTTTAAGATTGATCTCCATAAGGCCTTTGACAATGTGAATTGGGACATTCTTCATGAAGTGCTGGTTGATTTTAATTTTCTTGATCCACTTATTCAGTTAATCATGTTTTTTGTCACTTCTTTGCAACTTTCTGTTCTTTGGAATGGTGAGGCACTGCCATTTTTTAATCCTCAGTGAGGGTTACGCCTGGAGGATCCTTTATCACCTTACCTTTTTATTATGGTCATAGAGAAACTCTCACACATGATTTTCAACACAAGAGCATGTATGGAAGCCCTTTAATATCTCACGTGGGGGTTTTGCTTTTTCACATTTGTTTTTTGCAGATAATCTCATGTTATTTGGAACAACTTCAATATCCCAAATAGAGACTATTATGGGCGGTCTCTTGGAATTTGCAGGGCGATCCAACTTGGAACTTAATTAGAGCAAATCTAAATTATTTGTCTTCCCTAACATTCAAGGGTAGTTAGTAAATTCTTTTAGTTTTGCTTGTGGCATTTCTTTGACAAATGATTTGGGCATGTATCTGGGTGTTTCTATCATTCATGATCGGTTCAAATCTGATACGTATAGATATTTACTTAAAAAGATACTGCTCAAATTTGCAAGATGGAAGCAAAAGCTTCTAAGTGTGGCAAGAAGGTGAGTTTTAATATAATCCGTGACATCTTTAATTCCTACTTACACCATGCCAATAGTTTTTTTGCTAAAAAGTACTTATACAGCCATCAATTCTTTGAACGGTAAGTTTCTTTGGAGTTTTTACATTCAAGCGAATAGGCCACATCTTGTTAATTAGAATGAAGTTTGCTTGCTGCGGGAATTTGGTGGCCTGGGTTTGAGATCAACTAGGGACTACAACAGGGTGTTACTTGCAAAGTTGGGTTGGCAATTGCTCTTGGGACATGAAAAACCATGGTGCCAAGCTTTAACTAAAAAATGTCTCCATTTGGACAGCTTTTTTAATTGTAGTTTTTCCCCATCTTCTTTGATCACATGGAAAAGCATTTTACAATGTCGAGATGTGCTCTCTTTTGGTATACAATAGCGTGTGGGTTCTAGCTTAGACATTTGTTTATGGCATGATGTCTAGGCAAGTAATACAAGGCTTATAGATCTTGCCTCAAGTCCAGTTCCTCCACACTTACTTGAAATGTCTGTGGCTGAAATTATAAATCAGTCTAAATGGCACTTAGATCAGTTAACATCACTCCTTCTAAACAATGTACTACAACTTATTGTTGCTATACCTTTATCTTCAACAAGTCACTTTGATGATTCTATATATTGGCATGGTTTTATTCATGGGGATTTCACTGAGAAGTCTGCTTTTCAACTTCTACAACAAACACAATTGCTAGACTTGCTTAACACGGGGGAATGGACATGGATATGGAAGTTGTGCTGTTTAAAAAGGGTAAAGCTTTTTGTTGGGCTATTGAGGTGAGGATAAGTTTTAATGAATTCGATTTGCTTTGATAAACATATGGCTCTAAGCCCAACATGCCCTCATTATGATCAATCACTAGAGACCCCAATTCACCTTCTACGAGATTGTTACTACTCTCGCTTGGTATGGGAAGCCACTGACTCTTTGCCAAATTATTTCTTTCTGTTGGATTTTGATCACTGGTTACAACAAAATTCTACAGCTTCTCGATTGGGAACTGGTTTTTCAAGCTTATGGCCAAGTGTTTTTCTTGCAATTATTTGGCATTTGTGGAAAAGTAGGAATAAACTAATTTTTTATGACCAGAGGCTTTGATGAGAACCCCAAAGAAAACAATGAGACCCACAGCACGACAAGGGATTTCTAAACTCTAGGAAAACCAAATCAGGTTTATAATAAGACCTTAACCCATTGTTTATGTCGCAACAACAACTAAAGGTAAAAAACCTTGACCTGTTGTCTGTGACGCAACAAGAACCAAAGGTATAAAGTTAACTGACACCACACCCTCGAACAATTAAAAACGAGAATGATAAGTCAGGTTAGAACACCATAAGAATAATTTTGATAAATTGATGGGAATCAAGACAACAGCATATCTACCACGTCATGTGATCCATTACACACCCAAGGAGGTCCAGTCACGCGAGCTAGAGCTAAGAAGATGTGTGAAGCTTTAAATGGCCTTATTGAGCAGATATGGGTTGAAAACAATATACAACAAGAAAATCGAAGCTTGGATGATTATCAAGGCATGATAAACATCATTCAGGTTCAAGAGAAGCTTAATTGAGGTCATTTATGCTAAAGTACACAGTTTGCGTCAATCTCGCAATTCTGTCGCAATTTGTAACAAACTGATATTTCATGTTACTTTAGGCTACTTTTAGTGATTTTCTCGTTTTTTATATTATTTTGGGCTGAACATTCATTTATTTAAGGCCCAACTCATGGTTATTATGATTAGGGCTTAGGGTGTTAGTTTCCTAATCTGATTAGAATTACTTTTCCCTATTTAAAGGGGCTTGTAACCCTAATTGAGGAGGCTATTGAATTTGAGTTTTTGAGAGACTTTTCTCTTTGGTTCATTTCAGAACTTTACAGAACTTAGCAAGATTATTCTTGTGGCGTTCTAACCTGACTTATCATTCTCGCTCTTAATCGTTCGAGGGTGTGGCATCAACCAACTTTATACCTCTGGTTCTTGTTGCGTCATAGACAACGGGTCAAGGTTTCTACCTTTGGTTCTTATTGCGACATAAACAACGGGTCAAGGTCCTATTATAAATCTGATTTAGCTTTCTTGAAGTTTAGAAATCCCTTGTCGTGCTGTGGGTCTCATTGTTCTCTTTGGGGTTCTCATCATCTTGGTATCAGAGCATCAGATTTCTAAATCAGGTTTGCGTATCTTTAATTTCAGTTTTTACATCAAAAAAAAAAAAATTAGGGTTCTTTTCTTTCTTGTCTGCAGCTCTTTTCATCTTGTTCTGTTGAATCTGTGTTGCTGGTTCTGAAGAGAAAAAAAAATCCGAGAAAGAAAAGCATGAAAAAAAAAATCAGAGGAGAGAAGTTGTAGAAAAAAAAAACAAAAGGAAGAATCGCAAAAAAAAAAAATCGAGAAAAAAAAGGAGAGAGAAACAAGCAACACAATTCTATGGTTGGAATTCTTTATATAGAGAAGAAATTGGTGGCCAAATCCTTAAAGAAGAAGGAATCCTACTCCAGTAAAAAGTTGGAAGAAGGAATTCTACTACAATAAGGAGTTGGAAATTTTCTTTGAATTCTGTTGAAACAAGGAAATAGCAATTTTGTTTATTCCTTTCTAAGTTAGGAATCCTACTACATTAAGGAATCAAAATCCCACTACAATAAGGAGTTGGAAAATTTTCTTTGAATTCTATTCAAACAAGGAGATAGCCATTTTGTTTATTCCTTCCTACGTTAGGAATCTTGCTACATTAAGGAATAGTCAAGTCAATTCCTACTAGGAAGTTCTTGAACTAATATGTTCTTTTTAATTTGTTTGGGTTGGTTCTTTTATTGCTTTTCTTGGTTGTTCCTTTGTGTCTTTCTGTTTCCTTTAACTCTTGCAGATTTGTTAGAGTTAGATTGCTGCAAAATAACTTGAATTGAGCTTGTTTAGTTCAATAACGAACTGAAAGAGGAAAGTTGAGTGAGGGAAAAAGGCAAGAGGTGTGAGCAATACTTGAGAGAAAAGCCAAGTTCTATAGTGTGCAAAACACGAGCGTTGAGTGCCATTCTGTGAGAGAGTGGAGTGAAACATGTAATGGAGTGTTGAGAGGTCCTTTTATTTTCTATTTCTAACATTCCTTGCAAGTTTCAATCATGTCAAGCGGTGATGACAGAAAACACCAAGTGGATGATTCCTTCAGGCTCAAAGCTATGCAACAACAATTTCAGAGGCTAGACATCGTGTTTGGTGAAATTAAAGACAAAATGGAGAAGAAAGATGCAGCCATTGCCAAGTTATACCAAATACAGAATGGAAGTCCAAATTTGCATAATCACGATCTTGATGACAATGATGAAGACGCATTCAACGATGATGCCCAAAACTCAAATTTCAGCATGGACAGATTTATGAGAAGTAGAGAGAGTCAAAGATATAGATTTAATAAAGGAGACCAAAATCTAGCAAGGTGGGGAGATCGGCAAGATCATGACTTAGGCAGCATCAAGATGAAGATTCCTTCATTCCAAGGAAAAAATGATCCAGATGTGTATTTGGAGTGGGAAAAGAAGGTGGAATATGCCGTTGATGGAGAACTGCTTGTCACTAGGCGAGCTTTGAATGTGCAAGCCAAAGAAGATGATGAAGTACAACGTGACAATATATTTTACACGAGGTTCCATGTCAAAAACAAGGTATGTAGTGTGATTATTGATGGTGGTAGTTGTACTAATGCAGCTAGCACTGTTTTGGTTGAAAAGCTTAATTTACCTATGATGAAGCATCCAAGGCCATATAAATTGCAATGGTTAAATGATTGTGGAGAAATCAAGGTAAAAAAGCAAGTTCTGGTTTCATTCTCTATCAGACGATATAAGGATGAGGTATTGTGCGATGTGGTTCCCATGCATGCTAGACATTTACTTTTGGGGAGACCATGGCAATATGATAGGAGAGTAACACATGATGGCTTCAAAAATCGCTATTCGTTCATCATGGAA